TCCGGGGGACTGAATGAGGGGTGAGGGGGGGACATTTCACTAACATGCGAAATCTGTAGGACGCGATCGAGGTGAGCCGATGTGTGGGGATCCAAGAATGAAAGGGTCCCAAGGATAGAAGTTGAGAGAATTATTTCTTGATGGCTACCTGCAAAGGCTGGACCGAGTGGCCTCAGCAGCATCGGCGAGAGCGCAGAATGAATTCCGAGTATTGAAAGTGACGCATTGAGACATCGGCTTTTGCCGCGTGCCCCGCCCGACCCAAAGGTTGCCGTCGCCAGGACCTTCCCCCGCGCCAGCAGTCATGAATGGCCACTTCGTTGCCATGGGGGGAAAATAAGGCGGGTTTGCTCCATTTGTAATCCTTAGACGAATATCCATAGCGTATATAAGCAGAGAATTCCCTCCGTTTCCCCATTGTCCATTGTTCACTGTCCTCCCTATCCTCTTCAAGATATACCCTCATCCCATCGCAAGTAACACCACCCATCATGGCTTCAAAGACCTGGAACGTCGGAATTGTGGGTTATGGCTTCAGTGCCAAGACCTTCCACATTCCCTTCATTCAGGAAGTCCCTCAATTCAAGATCACCGCTGTTGTGCAGCGCACCCCCAAGCCCGATGACGATGCCGAGAAGGACCACCCCGGAATCAAGTCCTACAGGACCACCGAGGAGATGGTCAAGGATGAAGGTGTCCAGGTGGTGGTCATCACCACCGCTCCCGATTCGCATTACGCCTTGGCCAAGCTGGCCCTCGAAAATGGAAAGCACGGTAAGCTTCCAGACAGCCACTTGTAGTAGTTAATTCCGTATGAGTGCTGACATTTTCTTGCGACAGTTGTCTGCGAGAAGCCCTTCACCCCCACCACTCAGGAAGCCGACGAGCTGGTTGCTCTGGCCAAGAAGCAGAACAAGCTCCTGGCCGTGTACCAAAGTACGTTCCTTTACCCAGTCGCCAGGTCGGAAAAACATAGTCTGATAATAATATTTGGTAGATCGCCGGTGGGATGCCGATTTCGTGACTCTGTCGAAGCTCGTGAAGAATGGCTCTCTTGGCCGTGTGGTGGAATTCGAGACTCACTTCGACCGCCATCGTCCCCAGGAGCCCTCCCCCGATGTTTCTAAGTGGAAGAACAAGGTCATCCCCGGTGGTAGCGCCATTTATGACCTGGGCGCCCACCTCTTGGACCAGGCCGTGCACCTGCTTGGCAAGCCGGAGCGCGTGACTGGATTCATTGGTTCCCAGCGCGAGGTCAACACTTCTGGTTTTGAGGACTCTTTCACTGTTCTGCTCCACTACCCCAAGGGTGTGCTTGTCACGGCCAAGGCTGGTGTCGTCAGCCCGGAAGAGGAGCAACTCCGCTTCTGGGTTCGTGGTGAGAAGGGTAGTTTCAAGAAGGTGAGACAACGGTCTTCCACTCTAGGTGTCGATGGGTAGCAGAATACTGATGTGTACACGTCGATAGTTCCATCTCGATGTCCAGGAAGAGCAGCTCAAGTCTGGTGTGAAGCCAGGTGACAGCGGATATGGTCGCGAGCCTTCTGAGAGATACGGTAAGCTAAAGATTAATCCCTTTGATACCAGGCAGCATGCTGACAGTCCGCTAGGTACTCTCACAACTATCCAGGATGGTAAGCCTGTGAAGGAAGTCATGCCCACCGTAGAGCCCCCGACCTGGACGGAATACTACCGGAAGCTGGCGCGGGCTCTTGGTGGAGAGGGTGATCTCCCAGCCAGCGGAGCCGAGGCTCGTGAAGTGATCCGGCTGATTGAATTGGCTCAGGAGAGCTCGAAGCAGGGAAAGACCCTGGATGTATAAATTTTGCATAAATAGTGTGCCTCTCACGGGTCATGATTTAATGATGGATAGAATTGATTTTGTATTGTACAAGTGACAGTGTGAAGCCTTCAACTAGTGATTCTCTTAGGAGGAGTAGATGCCGCAGTGATCCTCAACGTTACTAAATATTACTCCGTAGCGTGCTCCACTTGCTGCAGGCGAGTTTTCGATTATTGTACGGAGGAACTACTCCAAGTATAGACATCCCTATACAGTCTGGTCTCAACAGTGTCTCCAATTCCCCCTCATTTCCCCTCACGAAGGGTTTTGCGAGGAAAGGCGCGAGGGTTCGCCGGCGCCATGTTTTTGGGGACCCCAGATTGATCGACAATTACTCAAGTCTGGGCGGGAATGAGGTATGTTACGCGGTCTGAAATCCCGATACCACTACGAGCTTATGAAACATGGGTGATTTGAGGGAAAAGACAACCAGACTCGGGTAACAGTCGGCGTAATATTACAGACAAGTGACCTCATCGTCAGCTGCCCCGACGCTAAACTGAAACCGGAGTTTCCATTACCCAACACGAATATCATGAGTGGCAGAAAGATCCCTTGGACCAGCCAGCAAAAGGGCCTCTGTCCCTCTCTTTCCAGGGCATCAATGACCATCTCCAACTCAGCACTGCATTCTCGCCCTCTGACTACCCGCTTCCGCGGAGATCCTCATGGTTACAATGTAGGAGACCTCGTTTTGCGTGCCGACTTTTCCAGCTCTCCTCAGGGCTGATCGGATGGCCCCATTCTAGTATTTTAATCTCGAGGAACCCCATAATGGCCTTGTCCACTCGCTCTTCGTCTGTTTCAAACCTCCAATGGGATTCCTCGGTTTATATTTAGCTTCTCTGTCACCTCCTGTCAATCCACGTAGTCCAAGGTAGGTTTTTGTCTTCGCGGCCCCCCCTGACATGGACCCGTCGGGACTCCATTTAATCAAACTGATGCCTGGTCGCTTGATGGGTGTCAGTGCATGGCCATAGGCCAAATTTTGCGTCTGTCATTTCTCCTCGAATGTGTGTGCTTGGCTGCCTCTTCATTCGTGGTGTTTTCCATCTTCAATGGCCTGCTTTTCCATGTTTTGACGGCTGTATCTGACTTTATATACATTAGGGTGGCGAGCCGTGTTGCGTGCTTTAAGACTGTCCGGGCTGGTTACCGGCAGTGCTGAAGGATGAGTGCGCAGAAATCTCAGTCGGCGTCTATGCTCCAGCGCATCGACTTCTCTCGACTACATGTGGACATCGATGCCTTTCTCAACCCATATCTGCCGCCTCCACCATGGCGCCATCTGCCCCAGCCGATCTCTCGGTTCTTCGGGTACAGGAAGACTCTCGCCCCGAAACCCCTGGGGAATCTTGTGATCGCCTTCTGGTCTATGATCGGGGTCTTCTGTGGTGTGCTCGTAGTAGCGGAGGTGTCTGAACATGTTCCATCATTCCAAGCTCACCATGCGCCAATCATTGTGGCCAGTTTTGTACGTCACTCTTGAGACCCCAGACTCCACCACTGCTTTTCAATATCGACTAACCACCTCACAGGGTGCTGCTGCTGTCTTGGAATTCTCCGCCATCGAATCGCCCTTTGCCCAACCACGAAATGCCGTCCTGAGTCAGATTATTGCTAGTTTCGTCGGCGTTGCCATAGGCAAGCTCTTCGCGCTGAACGAGAATGCCCACTCTATGCCGCAAGTCGGCGGTGCTCTGGCGTGTGCCATCACGACGGCCATAATGACGATCACAAACACGGTCCATCCCCCTGCCGGCGCCACCGCTCTTCTTGCCGTCACGCAATCCTACGAGGTGGGATGGTACTTAATCCCAATTATGCTGCTTGGCTGTGTGCTTATGCAGGCGGTGGCCTTGTTGATCAACAACATTCAACGTCGCTTCCCTATCTACTGGTGGACACCACAGTCTTTGGAACGACCCAAGCCCGACGACACCGAAAGCGCCCGGGAGGCCAAAGAGGGAAGTGTTGCGTCCGTTCAATCTCACGATACTTTTCCCGGCGTTCCGACCCATATTGTTATTGAAAAAGGGAGTGTCATGTTACCAGACAACATCACGGTTACGGAGCAGGAGATGGTAGTGTTGAAAAGAATTAGCGAACGATTATAGACATACATAATATTAGAGAGGTCGGAAGTTGCCTGGCTTGAAACCCAAAAGCCCAGGAGAAGGTTTCCGACCAATTATTAACAATAATTCATGTCGTGCAACACAGAATAAGAGACTAAGTTTGGATGTTTATAGATGAGGCTGAAAGTAGGTTGGCTGGATATGGCCAATTACTTAGTAGTACTATTAAGTATGCGCGACAGAGTCTCTAGCCAATTACGAATCGAGTCGAATACGGGGATTCACGATGGCTATTTTGTTGACTTCTTTACGACTTGCTGCTGGGCATAGTTTATATATAAGGCAACGGTGTCATGTAGTGGACTACTTCCGTTGCGTTGGTTAATCCCGTATGTTGGAATGATTCATAGTTACTCATCTTCTATAACTAACTGATCTGGTGGAGTACTGCTGACCATTATCTTGGCCTGCCTTGGGCGCAAGGCTCTGAAGCACGTGACTGTGGATGCCCAATGCGGCAAGCGTGCGCCACGTCCCGTGCAGTGACGTCGTGCAGCCAATCAGCGAGAGGCTCAGCCGCCCACTGAAGGAATTTTCGAGGCAAAAACAACCATCCATTCATCGATTCTTCGTTGTCGATTCTTCTGTTCCTACAACTTCAACGGGATTCTCCCTTGTGTATTGAGTCGGAGTAGTATATCTGCTCGTATATATCAATCCATCTTTTCATCTTTTGTCTCCCTTTGAGATCCCCATCTATTTGTGAGAGCGATCTCATTCGATCACTTGTCTTCATCTTTTTTTGCCTGGCCAGCCTATCGATAAGGGCTATCCAAGGAACCACCCCCCACTCACAAGAAGACTTTCGGTCGCCCCCCTCCCACCCCCCGCTATTAGTGGTCCACCTTTCGCTCAGGTTCTTTTTTTTCCCTTTTCTCTCTCGCCTTCATCGGACAGCTTTTATCTAGGCTTCCTGACCGTCCCTTCCTCTTCCCTTTCCGCCTTACCCTACCCACCACCACCTCCCCCCTCCTCTCCTCTCTCCTCTCCTCCCATCAACCACTCGCTTATTCGACAAGATGGTGTCTGCCTCCAAAGCCGCTCGTTTGGCAAAGCGTGCCGCCGATGGCGCCGACAAGAAGAAGCCCACCAAGGGCAAGAAGGACGACCCCGTCGTCGACGGTGAGGGCGGCGATGACCAGCCTGCCACCACTGATGAGAAGATGAAGGAGGTCGAGAAGTTGACTGCTCAGATGGACAAGCACGGTCTCTCCGATCGTGTCACGACCGGTGTCCTTGCTTCTCTGCCCTCCTCCCGCGACGTCAAGGTCACTTCCGCCTCCCTGGTGTTCCACGGAAAGGTTCTTATCACCGACTCGACTCTCGAACTGAACTTCGGTCGTCGTTACGGTCTCCTCGGTGAGAACGGTTGCGGAAAGTCTACTATCCTCAAGTCTATCGCCACCCGCGAATACCCCATCCCCGAGCACATTGATATCTACCTTCTGAACGAGGGTGCTCCTCCCAGTGAGCTCGGTGCCCTTGAGTGGGTTGTCACCGAGGCCCAGAACCAGCTCGAACGCATGGAGAAGCAGGCCGAAGAAATTCTTGAGAAGGAGGGTCCTGACTCTCCTATCCTCGAGGATCTGTACGACGTGAGTTTTCCCCTCTCCACCTCTTCTTGCCTCTTTGCTTTGTTCTAACCTCTTCTGCAGCGTATGGACAAGATGGATCCCTCGACCTTCCACACCCGTGCCTCCCTGATCTTGACCGGTCTGGGTTTCAACAAGCAGACCATCCACAAGAAGACCAAGGACATGTCTGGTGGTTGGCGTATGCGTGTGGCCCTTGCCAAGGCCCTCTTCGTCAAGCCCTCCCTGCTTCTGCTCGACGACCCCACTGCTCACTTGGATCTCGAGGCCTGTGTGTGGTTGGAAGAATACCTCAAGAAGTGGGAGCGTACCCTGATCCTCGTCTCCCACTCCATGGATTTCCTCAACGGTGTCTGCACCAACATGATCGACATGCGCATGAAGCAGCTCCTCTACTACGGTGGTAACTACGACTCTTACCACAAGACTCGTGCCGAACAGGAGACGAACCAGATGAAGGCCTACAACAAGCAGCAGGAAGAAATTGCTCACATCAAGAAGTTCATTGCTTCCGCCGGTACCTACGCCAACTTGGTCAGACAGGCCAAGTCCCGTCAGAAGATCCTGGACAAGATGGAGGCCGATGGTTTCATCCAGCCCGTCATCCCCGACAGAGTCTTCAGCTTCCGCTTCGCCGATGTCGAAAAGCTTCCTCCTCCCGTTCTGTCCTTCGACGACGTCTCTTTCTCCTACTCTGGCAAGTGGGAGGACACCCTGTACGAGCACCTCGACTTCGGTGTCGACATGGACTCCCGCACAGCCCTTGTCGGACCCAACGGTGTCGGAAAGTCCACTCTGCTGCGCATCATGACCGGCAAGCTGAGCCCCATCGGTGGTCGTGTCTCCCGCCACACTCACTTGAAGCTGGGCATGTACAGTCAGCACTCTGCTGAGCAGCTGGATCTGACCAAGTCTGCCCTCGAGTTCGTCCGTGACAAGTTCCCCGAAAAGTCTCAGGACTACCAGTACTGGCGTCAGCAGCTGGGCCGTTACGGTCTCAGCGGTGAGTCCCAGACTGCCCTCATGGGTACTCTGTCCGAGGGTCAGAAGTCTCGTATCGTCTTCGCCCTGTTGGCTATCGAGTCGCCTAACATGATCCTGCTGGACGAGCCTACCAACGGTCTGGATATCCCCACCATTGACAGTTTGGCCGATGCCATCAACGCTTTCAGCGGTGGTGTTGTCGTCGTGTCCCACGACTTCCGTCTCCTTGACAAGATCGCCAAGGACATCATGGTCTGCGAGAACAAGACCGTCACCCGCTGGAACGGTACTATCGGCGAGTACAAGAACCACCTCCGCAAGAAGATGATTTCCGAGGGTGCTGTCTAAAGTACAAACCACTGAAAACGAAGGAAGAAGTGATCAATCTTCTTGTTTATGATTGGAATGTTCGAGACGACACACACATGCAAATATAAAAAAGGCTTGTAAGGGGAAGGAAAAAAGTTTCTCTTTACCGTTACAGGAGAGATGAACCATCCTGATGAATGACATTCGCGCGGAAGGTTATCCGTTTTTTCTACTATTTTTCCTTTTTTTCAAATACCTGGAGATATCTTTGCTCATTACTACTACTACACATTTGGGTGCTTTGTTTTAGATGGTCTGTGTTTCATCTTTTCATACCTTCATCGTCACTCCCCCCAACCTAACTAGACTTGAGCGTTTGAGGGTTTCAATTTGATATTATTCCCTTGCTATACTTCTTTCCGTTATCGTAGACATACATACCCATGTAGGATGGTTTCCCTCGTATCACAGCTATAACTATAAATAACTCACACCTGAACTACTAAGGTCTCTGAGCCCAATGGTGGTAGTATGTACACTCACCCAGGTGGCCGTACCCACAGTAACTATACTACTACTAGGTAGTATATATAAGTCTGGACGCATAAGTAAGTAGAGGTCATCTAGTACATCATGTTCCAATATACAGTACTATAATTTACCAAATCCAACTGAGACACTTAAACTCATTTTCTCTTTAATAATAAAGAAGACTAATGAATAAAATGCTTTTCCATCTATTGCGCCTATCTACACGCTCAAAACAATAATTCACCAACGTCGTTGTCGCCCAAAAAAGCTAACAATAATAATAACAACTATAGTATAAACAATATACTTGAACCATAAGGTTCACTATTACTAACTGCTATTGCTGCTGATCCCCCTCCATCTGCCTCTCCTTCGTCCTTTGCGTGACTAATTCCCCTCCGAAGAGATCTTTCGTCGTCTCACTTCCCCGCTCTAGCTTCCGCTTCTTCGCTAGACGCTCCATTTCGCTTTCTGATGTCCCTGACTCGCCTGCTGCAGCTGCAGCTGCCGCTGCGGCAGCGGCCGGGATGCGTTTCTGGCCTGCGATGTTGGCCTTCTCTGGGTTTTGGCAATGGTAGAGTTTCTTGCCGACGATGCGTTTCAGGGTCTTCATGCGGGCTTCGTCTGACGCGAAGGGTTTGTATGCTTGGAGGAGGGCGGAGCAGTTGGCGAGGGTGGTGAGGAGTTTCGTGCGCAGGGCGTAGAGGGGATTTTGATCATGGTTGGATGATGATGATATGATTGGACCGCCTAGTTTCGTGTCGAGGTAGAATTCAGCCAAGGGGCGATCGGCGAGGAGGAATGCCGAGAGCCAGATCTGGGCTGGGGTGTAGAGGAAGTAGGCGTCTGTGATTTGGGCGGCGGCTTTGAGGATCTCGCGGGTGGAGTGGTGGGCGCGGGAGATGCGGTCGTTCATGGTGTTTGCGGTGGCGGAGGAAGGGGAGAGGGAGAGGAGAGCTCTGCGGAGGTCTTCTGGTGTTTGGGAGGGTTGGAGGTGTGGTGCTGGTTGGCCTTGGCCTTGGGATATGGCGCGGAGTTCCATGATGCCGCCTTCTAGGCCGCGGAAGGGGTGGCGCACGTCGAAGGTGAAGCGGAGGCTTTGCATGACGATGAATTCTGGGGCGATGATGTCGTCGGCGGAGGTTTGGCCGGGGACGCCTTCGGCGAATTGTCGTAGAGAGAGGTAATAGTTGTCGGTTTTGGTGGCGAGGAAGAGGGCGCACGGCATGATTTGTTTCGGGTGGTAGGTCATTGGGGAGTTGGTGAGGTAGAAGCGGCGGAGGTATTGGATTGCGGTGGCCTTTGGGGTTGGGTTGGGTCTGTTAGTATTGGGAGGGAGATTTGAGGGACTGGGATATGGGGTAGGAGGGAAGCTCGTACTCTCACGATGGTGGGAAGTGGTGGTTTGTAGTTCTCTCCTAGTTGTATGATTTGTTCGGAGTAGTAGTCCACCACTTGCTGCTCTTCTTCGGGTGTCAAGCACTCAATCTGCTTGTCTTCTGCTGCTTTATTCTCCGCATCGCTTCCCGGGGCTGGTGTCCCTGTTGTGGAGGAGGTGGCTGATCTTCGGGCGTCTTGTGCCCTTCGTAGAGCTGCTCGCACTCGGTCACTCGCGACGGAGTTGGTGGTTGCTCGTAATTGCTTCAGTGATGCTTCGGTGAAGGACCACAGTCGGAACTGGGAGGATGATCGGTATATTTCGTCTTCGATCATGTTGAAAGACAGCTATATAGTGAGTTCACTGTCGCGAAATGTGTAGCTAATGATGGAAGTGCTTGTTGCGCGAGGATTCTGGGGGACGGCGGAAAGTCAAAGCTGATCTGCAGCGGACTTTGCCGCATATCCACGTGCTTATCGATAGGCCCGCTGCCTTTACTTCCGTACATTAAGTACTAGACCTCCACTGCAGTTTGCTGATTACCTGGATCATGTAAAAGAGATAGTATTTAATTAGAAAGGCACTATACCTTCAGTCATAGAGGTATTGATTGAGTTAATGCAAGGCTAATAGTATCCTGACTTGAGCTATGCTGCCGAAAAATGTAGAAAGCGAATGGATATATTAAACATGGGTCATCACAGCCTGGGTTCTGACTTGAGAAAAGAGAAATGAAATTGTCTTGGTCATGTTTGTGCGAAGAGGTCTCAAGATTCGAGAGAGCAAACCCGACTGAATCGCCTGGCACCGTCGCTATTGCAAAATCTAAACTATCCGAACCGTCTGTCACATCACACCAACTACGGCTCACCAAGGAGCCGCGCCGTGATGTCTCCCATGTACGCCTCCTCCAGCTCGTAATCTTCCCCGTCCATTCGATCAATGCCATAGTATTTGAATGCGGCTACAACGCGGTCAACGTCAAATCCCATGTTACAGAATCGGTCGATCAAGTCTTTGTTGTAGCCGTCGTATCTGCACAGAAAGGTTAGCCAGAGCATGTTTGACCCTACACACGTGTACATACTTGCTTAAATCCTCTTGCTCCTGCTCTTCTTTCGACTTGATCTCCTGCAGCCGAAGAGTTTCGTCTGTCACACCGCCACTGCCTTCACCTGCATGCCTTCTGGGAGCTCCTGCATACATCACAGCCCACTCCTGAGCAACCCGTGCAAATTCCTGCGGTCTCCGAAGGAGCATCGTGGCGACCTCGGCATCTTGAGGATCTTTGGGTTCGGGGGTGCTTAGCAGGGATTGCAGTGAGAGAAGGGCAGATTTGATGGTGAGCACCGGTGACCACGCAGTAGAAAGAGTGTCAAGGCAGATGGCACCCTAGGCAAGTCATTTTATTAGCAAATCTGGGGTTAACCTAACCTTGCATGACTAGAGCGACTCACTGTTTGACTGCTAACGTTAGGATGCCAGACCTTGGTCACAAACTTCATATGGGGAGGCCGAAATGGATAATCGTTGGGAATTTTGATGTCGATGGTATAGGTGCCACCTTCGTAGGGTGTTCCCGGAGGTCCTGGGAATGTGCCTCGAAGATGCGTGAGATCATCACCACCGTGCAGTGGCTCAGCCGTGATTTGCGACTGTGTGTCGGCGTGAATGTCGGCGATCTCTTTGGCGATACGCCTCGCACGATTGCCAGACATCGTGAGAACAATCTCGGGAAAACGAGTAGCTTGTGTTATTTTTATCTTTTCTGAAGAAGCGAAGAAAGTAGGTTTGGATTGTCTGGACAGTTGAAGGATAAGAATAGAAAAGATCTAAGAACTATGAGGCAATAGTCAAAGCTTCGTCAGCCTCACAGTAGCTAACTACCGAGAGGGCGAGGAAGTGTAGCAGGTGGTCTGTAGCAGGGAGGTTGAGGAAAAGAAGGAACTATTGGCGTAGGTGCAATTAATACAAACGCTGAAGACCAACAACTGATCTGAAACAGCGGTCACCTAATCTGGTGGGAGCGGACTAGAGAGGATTGTTGTAGTATGGGCGAAAGTGAGGGGATCAATGCTCTCGGCGGGGCGCAAGTAAGCGCTCTATCACGGAAGAGCGCTAAACAATCGAACAAGATTAGATCACAGGAACTTGGTCGAACCCTAGCACGGGATGGGTTCGGCTAGAATATATATGAATGACAGCGGAAATATATGTTCCGGACTAAAGAAAAGGAACAAGTTGTAGAAGCAATATAGGGGAAAATGACCCGTCGGGCTACCTGGACGGTTCGGAGTAGAGCTGAGCTGCCAGTACATTTTGTTACAGATCGGGCCCAGCTCGGTTGACGCCAGACTACTTTTGGCTGCTGGGCGGAGGATCCCAAGAGGGGCTTGCGGGAGATGCCTCAGGGATCAGCCACTAGCGCCTCAGGCACCAAGGCATGTAATAAGTACGGATCGGATCACGTCACGTGCTGTCAAATGTGCTGGACGGGCGCCAAGGCCCGAGCGGATGGCGACCAACAGCTTCCCAGCTGCGCAACGCATCAGCTTCACGTCCCCATCCTCCTTCACCCATCCCCATCTCTTCACCCCATCCACGCTCATCGCGAATTCTTCATTACATTTCCCAGACCCCTGCATAGGTTGTCTATAAGAAGCCTACTGCTTCTCACAGTTTCGGACTATGGTTGGTGCCCGGCGTTGGCCCTTGTTGACAGCTCTTGTCGGCTCCTGATGTCACCTATCTGACCAATCTTCATCACAGGGTAACCAGCAGTCCAACATCGGCGGAGGCCCCGGTGGCGATGGAAGAGATGAGAAGGACAAGAAGGTATGCTATACTCCCCGTGGTCTTCTTGTCAGGTAGCGGCCGGCTCACGTTTCGCTTCTCTGCAGAAGGACAAGCCCAGATACGAACCTCCTCCGCCGCCTACGACTCGTCTCGGACGTAAGAAGCGCAAGGCTGCCGGCCCGAGTACTGCCTCCAAGCTTCCAGACATCTTCCCAACATCACGATGTAAATTACGATACCTCCGAATGCAACGAGTCCACGACCATTTGTTGCTAGAGGAAGAGTACGTGGAGAATATGGAACGCCTGCGCAAGACCAAGGCCCAGGCTGCGCT